GGGGCACGTGGCCGCGCCCGCCACCCGCCCGCCTGCACGTCCGCATTGGCAGCCAATTCAGCAAGCGAGGGGGCGGACGGGTGCTCGCCTGCGCGCCGTACAACACGAGCTGCTCCGTCCCCGCAGAGGCAATCTGTCCGGTGAAGAATGAGGTGAGAGCGGGCGGACGGGCACAAAGGTTGAGGGGCCGAGGGTGAGCCGATGGGCGTGGGGGCTGGGTGGTGTTTGGAGGGGGGGAGGGGCGCAAAAGTGCAGTTCAGCGCCGGCGGAAATGACATGGCGCAGGGGAGGCGGGGGAGCAGGCCGGGTGCCACACGTGGTGCGCGCGCGGGTTCGAGCACAGCACCAGTGACGCGGAGGCGGGACGGCGCGCACACGCATACACATTGTTAGGAGTGAGCTGTACATCGCCGACAAAGGCCATCAGGCAGCGCAGGAGGTGCAGGGAGCTGGACGCGTACTGCCCGAAAAGGCCTCAAAAATCAGGTCCCGCCGATTGATCGGTGCAACCGCGCCCGGCCATGGCAGCCGCACCCTAATAAGCGACACGTCCTTGAGCTTGAATGAGTCAAGGGTGACCGCCTGCACCTCCTCACCCCCCTTGGCCACAAAGAGGCTGCCTGTTGTGTTTTGGGGGGGGGGCCGGGTGGAGGCAGGCGGGGGTGTGGCGTTTGCGAGGCCGCCAGTCGGGGGCGCATGGGAGAAAGCCACGGCCGGCGTCGCCACTGGCAGCCATTCCAGCCGCCGCCGCTGGCTTGATCAAGGCATCGCACGGCGAGCGGCTCAGGAGAAAGCAAGCAAGATGGAGGGCCGTGTGTGGGGTTGAGGCTTCAGTGGGCGTCGCGCGTGCAAGGGTGGTGCAAGGCCGCCGCACCTCTGCTGGCCTTGGGGCCTGGGGACCTGGGTGACGTCGCGGAGGTTGGGTAGGCCAGCAATGCAGGTTGCATGTCGTGCGTGAGCGGATGAGGGAAGGAAGAGGGGCCTTGTCAGCATCGAGGATGTGCGGCATCAACGGCCGCATGTGATTGAGCGAAGCGGGCCGGGCCCGGTCGCCACCGCCCGCGGCTGTTGGCACACGCCCCACGCGAGGCAAAGCTGCACACACGCGGGCGCTGTGTCTACGCCACGGCCGGGGCTGGTGGCCGGCGTTGGCTCACTCGCTCGAAATGCGGATGGCGCCGCCGGCGAAGGAGAGGGCGGCGTTGTGCACGCGCACGACGCTCGAAAAGCCGTTGACCAGGGCGTTGGCGCCCGCAAGCTGCGGCGGCGGGTGCGTCGTGGAGGCACATGGGCAGGGGGAGGGGCGTGGAAAGAAGTCGGGCGGTGCGGGGCGTGTCGATGACACGGCGCAGCGCGACAGCGAGTTGCGACGCGGCAGCTGACATCAGCAGATGGGAAACGGAGAGCCACAGAGGGTGTTGCAGAGGAGGCGCCGCACATGCAGCCCCCCGTGCGCCTAGTGGCGGCCCCTGCGCCGGCCCTCGCGGGGCCCTCGCGGGCCGGCCCACCTGCGCCAGCTTGCGCTGCGGCTCGAAGCAGTGGACGGCGCCGCGCGGCCCCACCTTGGCCGCGAAAAACACCGCGTACGACCCTGAATTGCTGTCAGCGGCAAGGGAGGACCAGGGAGGGGAGTGGCGCACCACCCAAATGCAATCGTGAGCCATAGGGCTCCATACACCGCTGAGAGCGGCGCCAATCGCTGATGCGGCCATGGTCGATACATGCAACCATTCCGCCCGCATGCCCCGCCCTCCGCGCCGGAAAACGCCGCCTCGCGCTGCCCCTCTTGTTGGGCCGCCGCCCCAGCCACCGGCCCGCCCCTCCCCCGCCACCCTGGCCCCGCACGCCGCCCACCAGTCCGTGTCGACGACGGTGCTGCCCGGCCGCACGCGCGAGAGCAGCTCCTGGAGCACCTGGGGGGCAAAGGGCTTGCCACTCCTCAATATTTGGGCGCCTCCCGCCTGCTGGCCACCGGCCAGCGCCAGAACGGTGACGTCCAGCCCTGAAAATGTAACGTTTCGGCCCGCCACTGCGTGCGTGGGCGGCGCGTGCGGCGAGAGGAGGGGGCCCGAGGCGGCGAGCGTGAGGTGCGCGGCGCGGCGAGGCAAAGCATGAGCGGGCCGCTTCGTTCCTCGACAGGCGCGCTGCTGAGCAGGGCGGTGAGCGGGATGATTGGTCCCTGCGGGTCGCGGACATGGGCGGGGCCGCACGCGCGGCCGGCCGCGCCGCCTGCACGCCCGCGGCGCGCAGGCAGGGTCGCTCTCACGTTCGTTGTTGAGGAAAAGGGCGCCCTGCGGGCGTGCGCCGGCGCGCGGCGCCGCGGGGCCGGCGACGCCGGGCTTCAATAGAGCGACGGCAAGCTTGCTGCGGGGGAGGGGTGCCGCGATCCAGGCCGAGGGTCAGCCGCGATTGGTCGCCCCGCAGGCGTGCGGCAGGCTTCAAGGCTGCAGCTGCAGCTGGCGGGCAGCCGCCGCCGCATCAGCCCCGCGCTGCAGCGCTGCTGTTCCTCTGACGCCCCACTCTTCGGCCCGCGGCGCTCATCGCGGCGCGCCTGCCGCACCTCTGCATCGCCTTCAGCTGCGACCTAAGCTTGCCCATGCTGTTTTCAATGTTGGTGACCGACTCGGCCTGCCCGGTTATCCCCGGCCGCAGCCGCTGCAGGTCTGCCGCCACGCGGTCTAGTGTGGGGTTTTGGGCGGAGAAGGAGCGCAGGCCCGTCTCTATGCGCTGCATCGTATCTGTTGCCAGCTGCGCTCCGCCGGGAGGGGGGGGACCGATGGAGGCAAGGGGGAGAAGGAGGTTTGAGGGATGGGTGTGGCATCCAGCTACTCTGGGCAGGATGCATGGGCTTGGCGGCAAGCAGGCGGCCCGGCCTGCTGAGATATGGCGCTCAGGGCGCCATGCGCCATACGTGCAGGTACACGCGTGTGCATGAGAGTGTGCGCGTGCACACACATGCGCGCGCACACACACACACACACCACACGCACGCAAACACACACCTGCACATCTCCACATGCACACACGCACACACACTCCCTCTTACGCACACCATGTGCACACAACACATATGCACATGGCCCCCATGCACCCATGCACGCACCCCCACCCCTCCCCAACGTTCATGCCCGCCCCACCTTGCCGATCAGGTCTATGCACTGCTTTACTGCCTCCTCTTTCATCATCCCCTGCGACCGCGTCATCACTACGGTGGTGTATGTGCTGCCAAGGGACGCTCCCACAAACAGGATAGCCAGCAGCTTGGCGGCCGCCACGGCCGACGGCGACGCGTGCGGCACCCCGCCCCGCATCCGGTCGTACATCGCCTTCCCCGCGGCCAGGGCTGGCCGGCGCGCGCCGCCGCGGGCCCGAGCGGGGGTTTCTGGTGAGGGATCAATTCTGTGCCAGGAAGGGGTGGTGGTTGTGCATCGATCACACGATGTTGAGTGAGGTGCATGCGCGCGCGGCCCAATGCAGACGCGTGCTGCACTCGTCCCTTCCCAGCCACCGCCGGCGTGCGCACCTCGCCTCAGCTGGCGCAGACGCAGCCTGTATATGTTATTTACAGCTCACAGAGCCCACGTGTTGCAAAGAAATGGGAGTCAGGCCTCATCAAGCAATAGCAGCAGGCTTCGAAGCTCCACGACGATGACAGACTCTCTTCGTAGCTACCTAGAATTGATGCAGGTGCATACGGCGTAATCCACGTCGAACTCAACAAAGGATGCTGGATCACTCCAGTGACACCAACGATCCTGGTCCCGGGGATATGATAAGTTCGGGGTTTAGCATACGATTACATGGAGACTTCAAAACCAATCATCAACGTCAGCACCACAATAGTGACACGGCGTCCGTGGTGACAGTGCCCGCGTGTCTCGGACCATCAGCCACAGCAATGGCCTACCGCCAGGGCCTGCCCGTCTGAATTACTTGAGGAAGATATCATTGTACATTGCGCAATATGTCCACATGCACACTCGCTCGGGCTGCTGCACCGCAGCGGCGCCGACTCTCGGAAGGATTGCTGCGCAAGAACATTCCTGAAAACCCAGGACTTGCGGCGACACCTGAGAGATCGCCATGGATTGCCCCGGTCACGCCTGAACAACACAGCAGCGCGACGCCCGTGGCTTCCCTGTGCTGCCGCTTGTCGGCCCGCAAACGACCGGCAGCAACACACAATAATGTCGTGGACGCAGGGGGCCTGTGGCAGCCGCCTTGCGGCACAGCCCACAGCTGGCCATTCACTGCCTGCATGCCACGGGCGAATCATGAAGAGCGGCAAGCACCAGCAAGCCGCCCCGTATGGAACCAACCGTTGCGTTCGGTATCGAACCCGGGCCGCACAGAGCGCTGCTCACTGGGCAGGCGGAGATCATGTGCGCCGCAACCCTGGCGTGTCCCCACCATGTTGGATTGGTGGGATGTCAGACTTATCATAAACGAGTCCCATCCGGTGAGCCATAACTTCACTCGCTGGGCACAGCAGTGTCGCAGCCTATATAGCAGAGGCACATTCACAATCAAACCAGCTAGGCAGATGCCTTTCCATGAGTGTGTTGCTGATGTGATTCGCAATTCAAACTCTGATGTTACAACGGGCAGCTGCCACGCCAAGCCCAGCAGATCCGTTCAAGAGCCGGCGCTGTACCGCGGCGCTTCGCCGAGCCAGGGCCTGCTCCCGAGGCAACCGCACAACGCGCGCGCGAAAACCGCTCGTGCTTCGACAAGCGGCTGCAAGCACCCGGCCACGCCCGGCGCGCCGCCATCCGTCCACCCTTGCGGTGGGCGGTTTGTGGCCCCGCACGAATGGCTGATGGATGCGAGGATGCAGTCCGGGTCGGACTGCCGTTCGTGCAGCGAGCCTGCTTACGTGCGTCTCATCGTCAGAGGCGCGCCCGCGTTGCAGCGGGGCGGCGGCGGGCGCGGCGCGGCGCGACGCTTGCGCTGGGGCGCGGGCGGCGGCGCCGCGAGCGAGGCAGAGGGAGGGGTAGTGAAAATATCAGGAGAAGAGGCCCTCGTTAATGGTGGACTGCATTAGGGCGTTGACGGCGGCGTAGTCCGGTCCATGGAAGTGAAACGCCATCCCCACCGACGGCGGCGGCAGCACCAGCGGCGGGAT